TTGTGGTTCTAGAAATAGAAAGGTTTTTAAATCTAGTGACAATGTTAGACATTGAATGCTTGATAGAAAGTGGTTATGGTGAAAAACTGATGAAAATGCTAATATTCTACTGCTCATTGTGTTGTTTCATTAGAGAAATCATAGGTAGCAATTGAATAAATTCTTTATAAGCTTTTATTTGGCAGAAATGTGCCTCTAAGCCCATACTTGTGATATTTCATAGTGGCTTACGTGGTTCGGATAAATGCAATATTTGACTGCATTCAGTATTAAACCAGGCCAGGAATTTAAAACCAGCACTTTTTAGAGGCAGTATGATTCACTTCCACTGTTACACTGAGTGCCCACAGAAGAATCCTGTTACTGATATTGAAGTGCCTAAGGCACAATTGGATTTGGAAACATGAAAAAATGTGAAGTTGGTCCTCAAGGGCAGAAGCAATATTTGCCATGACTTGAGGCTATATGTAAGTCTATCTCTTAATGCTTTGCCCTTTTAATTAAGATCTAATTTTGACCAAATGATCGGTAACATTAAATTCTCTATTGGTTTGTTACATTCAAAAGGCAGATGGTGCTCACTCCAGCATAACAATGAATACATATCTAAGCAGGAGATGTAGTACCCACATAAGAAAACACAGCTACCTTAGAGGTTTATTGGTGCTTTTCCAAAGTTTGGTAGAGTTTTGTGTGGATTTGGTGGGGGAAAGAACCCCAGGAAGTTACTATAAAATTACTCACTCTGAGTACTGAGTTACTGCAATAACAGATGTTATGGAAATGTTCCATTAATTGCTGCATTTATTACAGAATAGTTAATAAGCCAGTAACATCTGTCACAATTCTTTGCATGATATTTGTACTTGCATGTTAATTAAAGTGTACATTTTATGTATTTATATAGCAGAGGGGAACAGCAGGAAAATATCATTCCTGCCGCTTGCTAAATGCACCCTCACACTATACATGACCGTAACGCCCAGCACTGCTGCAAGATCAGGTTTTGATGAGATACACATTTAGGAAAAAAGTCAAATATTCCCTACAAATTCCAGAGCACCTGTGAAAATGGTACAAAAAGCTGGTTTGAAAAAAGAGAGTGGTTTTAAATCTGCATAAAGCTGGTCTGAAACTAAAAAGAGGTTGGCAATAACTGTCTCTGCTGTTCTCTTCACACAGACTGTGCTCTGCCTTGATGGATGAGTGCAATTCCCTTAAGGTTTTCTCTGTGACCTTAGAGAGGATCAGAAATGAAATGAAGCTGCACTAATTTGCACTGAAACTTTGGTATATGTAGCTTGTCTTATTTTCCTGAAATCAAGCTTATCACGCAAAGCAGTACATATATTTCATACCGCTTGTATTAATGTGTGATTAAATGCTTTTCATATAAAGCTTTCTTACCTGGGCTTTCCCCTGGGTGGAGATGGGAGAGGAGAAAAAAAGGGAATACAACAGATGCTGCTCATGGTATTTTTGTAATGCCAGATGATGCTCAGAGCTTCAGTGGGCTGATTTATATACATATATATATATATATATATATATAACATGCAAGTGTTGGAATGGATATGCGATTGTTTGGTAAATGTCTGTTATGGGTGAATGTGCTGTGGAAAAATTTATGCTGAGGATGGATTCAAGATATTTTGGATATTTTGGAAACATTTCCCACTTGCTTCAATGGGATGTTTGTATCCTAAGGCCTGTGTTAAAGGAAAAGAAGCAACCTTGATGAATTTATCTGATTTCCATGTGATATAATGGTAGATGCTTCAAAGCTAAGTAGGTCATAAAAATATGCTCTGTCGGATGTTTCTGCCAATGTCTTCATAACCCACAGTATATTGGATGAGAACTATTGTGTGTGCAAGTCTGTTCAGGTGCAGAGAAATGTTCTGACCTAAAACCTCAGAGCATATTTCTTAGTCTTTATTTCTATTCACTCCACTTTCCAGCTTGCCCACATAGACCAGTTCTTGTGTTTGTGTGATTCCCTTTCTTCCTGAGTCATGATTCCATGAACCCCTGTACATAACTTACTGGAAACTGTCTCCCTGGAACGACTAGTAAGAGAGTCAGGCTTAGGATAATGTTTAGCTGTTAATTTTCATTGTGTGAATGAGACCTATTGCGTTCCTATGTTCTGGAAAGCCATTTCCACATGAGTTAGTCCTAACCAGCTCTCACTTTGTCTTCCTTTTAAAGCTTCATTTCATCTCTGTGTGCATATCAAAGAGAACTGCTAAAATCTAGACTCAAGGTGTAATTTCCATCTCTGAATAAACAGGATGTGCCATCTCAGACTCTGGCTCATAAATAAAACCAGCAGGGAGTACTGAGAGCTGTGTGCTGTGTCAGGACAAGGGCTGGCTGCAGGCTTGGGACAGGGAGGAAGGATAGCTCACAAAACCACTCTGACAGGCATCTCTGTTTTTACAGTTTCCATGCTTTCTTGGAATCAGCTTAGCTTTAATTTCATCTTCCTGAGGCTTCTTATATAGAAACAGAGCAGTATTCTGACACAGGTCGGCTCTGTTCATCCGCCTAAACATCTGTGTCACAAGAATTTTTGCAAAGGCAGCTCTTCCCTTCTGAATTCCTTTAATATACACAAAGTAAAGCACTGATATATATGTAGACACAGGTATAAATATATCAGTTATTGGTGCTTGCCCAGGAACAGCAGAAGTGCCCCTGCTAGCAATAGCATGTTGCTGCTGCTGTTAGACAGTTGAAATTCCTGGAAGGTTTTGTTTTTAGTTCTTTCTAGATATAAAAACCTAGTCATCACAGGGTGTCTAATGGCATTACTGGGAGAAGCAGAACTGTCTGATAGGAGCTGCAAGACCAAAGCATTGGAATGTTACAAAGCAGGGGATAGGTTTTGTGTGAAGTGAGGAAGTGGGATGGGATGCTTGTTTGGAGCTGGCTTCAAGTAACACTCAAGTGGGCTTAAGCCTATTCCTACTTCCTAAGCGCTCCCCCTGCAGCTCACAGGGCATCACTCAAATTCTGCCCTAATTTCCATAAGTCCAAATACATCTATACTGAGCTCCCCTACTCTGCAATATTTAAAAAATGTATATAAAACCATGTGAAAAATGCCCAGGCAAAAGCTGCTACTTCTCATTTAGTACCTTAACCTAATGCTGGAAGGCATTTTTTTCCAGCTACAAGGTTTCACAGGCTGCTAAAAACACAGCACATGCCAGACTTCACATACACACATCTGTACACAGCAACTGATCCCAAAACATAGCGTTCACCATTTGAAATACACACCTTGTGCCTTTGCTGTGAGAAATACCACACAGTGGCAAGTCACCTAAAATGTGTCCTCTCAAAGAAAAACATGGAGGAAATAAAGGCAGAAGTATGGAATTCCAACAGAAAGTAATTGTGCACAGGCTGCATCTTGCTTGACAGCTCCTGACCTTTCCTCCTGCACCTGTGGTAATAACCTTAGCTAGATTTGAGCAATGATTTTTCACACACTTAACTGCATTCTTATATCCTTAGTTTACCCATGGCACTGGGTAGTTTGTTTGGTGCTCCAGTCATCAGCTGATAGATGAGTTATTCCTCTGGCAGATAGTTACCCCAGCCCTTCCTGGGGCGTAGGCATATAATTCCCAGAATGGGAAGCATTACCCTGACTAAGATACTGAGACAGAAGTGTCACTGATGTTTCCTTTTTGGCAGGGCCGTGGATGTGCTTATCAAAACCAGAGTTAATTTGGTCAAGTTCTTCTAGTTCCGGTGGAGAATTACTTAATAGTACAAAAATGTAGAGCAAGCAGGAACAGGAAGGGCCAGGCAGGCGAGCACTTGAGCCACAGATTAATGCCCAAACTTTGGTGTGTGTGGGAAGTGTTGCACCTGATAAAGCAACAGATTCACAGCCTGTTCCAGCAGACAGCCATTTTCAAAACAAACTTCATGAGAAATATGGATGCTTCAGGATGAATTGGTACAGGTGGAAAATGTAATGGTGGTGCTAAATGTAGTTGTTTAAAAACTCTGCAAATGTTTCAGTAGTGTGCATAGAAACTTAGAAACATTCTTGCAGCCCAGGAAGCAAACTGTCTTCTGGGCTGAATCAAAGGGAGAGTGGGCAGTAGGTCAGGGGAGGTGACTGTCTCCTTCTACTCCAGGCTCCATCTCTGGTACTGCATCCAGCCCTGGGCCCCCCAAAACAAGAAGAATTTGGACCTGTTAGGAGGCCACAAAGGTGATCAGGTGTCTGGAACAACTCCTTTGAAGAGAAGCTGAGAGAGCTGGGGTTGTTCAGCCTGGAAAGGAGAAGGCTCCAGGGTGACCTTAGAGCACTTTCCAATACCAGAAGGGATGACAAGAGAGCTAGAGAAGGACTTTTTACAAGGGTATGGAGTGGTAGGACAACAGAGGAATGGCTTCAGCTGAAGAAAGATCAGTTTAGACTCGACATTAGTAAGAGATTCTTTACTGTGAGGGTGGTGATGCACTGGTAAAGGTTGCCCAGAGAAGCTGTGTATCCCTCATTCCTGGAAGAGTTCAAGGCCAGGCCAGATGGCACTTTGAGCAACCTGGTCCGGTGGGAGGCATCCCTGCCCATGGTGTAGGGTTTGGAACAACCCAAGCCATTCCATGACACTAAGCCATACCTGCTCCATGGCTGCAGCTGGCTCTTCCCTGACAGGCCTTCCCAGCAAGGCCAGCTGCTGCCAAAGGAGTTTCGGTACACACTGGACTCCACAGGTAGCACCTAAGGGGCAGACCCAGAGCCTGCCTGAAACCTTTTTGTAACAGTAATTCCAAGTTTCATACCTCTGCCATGAGGACAAACACTTGTTCCAACAGTATGGACTGTTGCAAGAGTCATACAGCTGTGTGCTGCTGGGAGTCGGTTTCCCGCAGTGGAGGCCGCAGACGGGGTGCCAGGCTGACATCCCAGCCCTGGAGAGGCAGCGTCCAGTCCTGTAGCCATTTTCCAGCCCGCTGGTTGTACACGGAAATGCCCAGGGCCGCTGGAGCAGGGCGGGATATTGGAGGAGGCGACTGCAAGGCTGTGAAGGTGTGAGCAGGAAAGGAACCAGCTGTAAACACAGGGTCATTTTGTAATGGTTGAGGCGTTTAGGTAACCCCGGGTGTCGGGTATCTTGCCGCTGATTTGAGGCTCGAAGATGCTCTTGGAGCCCTTCCAGAGGGTGAGGAAGGTCCTGCTCACGCCAGCGCGGCTCTTCCGGGCGGGGAGCGGAGCGCTGCAGCCCCGGGCCCGCCCTCCCCTCCTCGGGGGTGGTGCCGGCGGCGGTGCCGGCGGAGTCGGCGCGGCGGGCCGGGACCGAAGGATGCTGCTGTCGCTGCTGCCTCTCCTGCTGCTGCTGTTGCTGCCGGCGCTGGCCGAGGGGCACCGGGCGGCGGTGCTGCGGCTGGGGCTCCGGGACAGCCCCCGAGGGGAGGTGAGCCTGGCTTTCCTCTCCCTCACCCTGGATGCCAGCCTCGCCCGGGACCCGCGCTATGTCGCCCTGCTCAGGTGAGTCGCCTCTCGCCCCACTGGGCAAAGGAGAAAGGGTCTTCGGGAGGAGGGGCGGGCCGTCCTGGCAAACGCGCTGCGGAGCGAGCTGGGCGGCACGGGAGTCCCCCAGCCCTAAAAATGGGGTCGGGGAGAGGCTGCTGGATCCCGTCTGCTTGGAGTTCGCTAATTCCCTCCTCCCAGAGCAGAAGGCGGTACCTGCCGCAGGTGGGAGCCACGCCGGCCCATTGGTGCACGGGAAAGGAGCGGCTGGCATGGGGAGATGCAGGGAAAGCTCAGCTCGGGAAGAAGCATGGTAGAGGAGTAGCTTTGCCAGCAGAAAAAAAAAGGAGAAGGAAACGGAGGGAATTGCGGTTGTTTGCCCTCGAGAAATGAAGTCCTCAGGGTGTCCTTATCGCCCCACTCAAGCACCAGAAAGGAGGTTGTAGTGAGGTGTGGGTCAGTCTCCTCCAGCTAACAACTGACTGGAGGAGAGGAAACGGTCTCAAGTTGTACCAGCGGGGCTTTAGATTGGATGTTAAGAAAAATTTCTTCACTGAGAGAGTAATCATGCATTGGAACAGGCTGCGCAGGGTAGCAGATAGTGGGATCACCATCCATGAAAGTGTTCAAAAAATGTGTGGATCCTCCAGTCCTGCTTTCCCACTACCTGCACGTTTTCGTCCTCACTGAGCTGGTGAGAAAGGTGCCACCAGCGTTACTGGAAAGTGCTCAGGTCTCCAACATCTAGCCCCACCTTCACACCTTGGGGCTCAGCATGAGGCCAGTCTTGCCACCATGAGGAGAAGGAAGTATTTGGTGGCCTCTAATCTGCTGTTTATCATCACAGAGCAGATAGCACCTAACATGCCCAGTGCCCTCCAAAGCCTTGTGGTTCCCCCCAGAGAAGGCTGGCTGTCGGTGCTGCACATCCTGCATAGGGTGTGAGGTGCTGCACATCCTGCATGGAATGTGAGCAAGTCACAGACACCTTTTGTGTCTTTTGTACACCTGCTTTGATAGAGTTAACACCTGTTCCAGCAGGGACTCTTAACCTCCCTTGGGTACAAAGGCAATTGCTTTGGCTGTTGTTATGGAAGTTGGGGCTGATGATGTAAAGTCAGTTTTGTGCCCAAATTCTCAGAGGACGTTTATGTCGGTGTTGTACAAACAAAACCAAAAACATCTAGGGGAGGATGATGTTTAGGATGGAAAAAAAAAATAAGCTTGTTTTAAAGTTTTGCCTTACTTTGCCCCCAGGATTTGGCTCCCTGCCAGTGTTCCGTCAGGTATGTTCTCCCCTGCCCATTTGACCCTCTCCTGGGTCACTTGGCCATCAGTGTCCCTCTCGTACAGTGCAGAGGGCTGGGATGCAGATCCCAGTAAGCCATCAGGAATTCCTTGAGGCTCTGGGTAGCCCCAGGTCACCTACTGCAGCATGTTCCTCAAAGTGCTTGCCATGTTTACCCTCTACACAGTCTGCATAAATACAGTGGTTTTCTATTTCTTGGCATTCCCTCCTCAGCAATTCGAAGCTGCGGGCCCTGGCAACAGCCCTGTCCCCAGGTTTCCTGAGGTTTGGTGGCACTGAGACAGACTTTCTTATCTTTGATCCCAACAAGGATTCAACTTCAGAAGAAAAAATCTTCTGGGAATTTCAAGCACAGCAAGGTAAAGTGGGCATCAACTTGTTAGACTTGAAACCATTCTAGGTTTTGGAGAGTCTTGGATGCAGGCTGAGGATTCTGCAAGGGCACAGCAGCAGCACTGGGGGCCCTCCACACTCTCAGTATTGCTATCATCCATGGAGAGGAGATCTGTGGACTTTCAGCATGGTTTGTGGGAAGAGCTGTGCCAGCTGTGGGAAAATTGAGAAAGGATGCAGGGGAACTTGTATCCTCCCTGGCATCTGCTGAGACTCTACCCTTGCTGCCCTCTGCTCCCTGCAGCAATCTTGGGAGCTCCCTCACTGTCTGGGAGGTGGTCAAGTTCAGCTCAGAAGATGTGGCTTCATTATGAAAATTAAGGAACAGATGGAAGAAATAACCTGAGGAGAATAGTGTTCAGTCTCTCCCAAAGCCAGAGAGCTTGGCTGGGGGTGCAGCCTTGCCCTCCTGCTGCTTTGACAGGGCAAGTGCAAACCTGATGGACCTCTGTCAACTGCTTGAGCTTGGTATTTTCTCTTTGAACTTAGCAAAAGTGTCAAGAGGTGCTTCAGATGAAAAAAAATCCTGTATATTCCTGTGGCACATAGCACAATTGTGCAATCCTACATTACTGTATGACCAGTGATGCTCAGTTTTGAAGTCAAGTGGTACTTTTCCCTTCATAGCACTTTGCTAAGTAGACACTTCCTGTGACTCTGGCTCGTGCCTTCTTCTCTGGTTATGGCTTGTTCCTGTTTTGTGTGCCAAGAAAAAGCATAAGCTTTGAAGGAAACATGTCCTATGACTCCTGCCAGTGAGCCGTGTGGGGAAGTCAGCACTTTGCCCTGCATGAGATGGCCAGTGCAGGAAGCATTGCTCTGTTCCTGTCCCCAGCAAGGTGGGTCATGATTCCTGCCACACCACTGCATGCCAGGTTGGCTTATCTGCTCCTCAAGCATCGCAGCCTATGCTTCGTCAGCTCACTGGAACAAGGGTTTGCTGACTGTGGAGGTGAGGAGTTAATTCCTATCAACCTTCTTCTGCCCTACAGAGGCTTGTGGCTCAAGGCCTGCATTTGCTGCTGTTGAGAAGGTGCTGCTGACCCAATGGCCCAGCCAGGAGAAGCTGATTCTTGCCGAACAGAACCGGAAAAAGCACAAAAACATCACCATTACAAGTAAGACTTAAACAGGGGGATGCAACTCTCTGCCCCACAGTAAAAGGGCCGTAGGCTATTAGGAGCAGAAACCACTGAAAAAGAAATATTTCACCCACTTTGAAAAATATTCAGAGAACTCTTTTTCTGTTGTTTGCCATCCCATATTAATAGTATTCAGCTGCAGGGATTGGGAGGTTCTCAAAGCTTGCAAGATGTTGTGTAGTGAGGCCTGACCTCTTCTGTCTGGCATCAGGCTAAATAAATACAGTAAAGGCAATAAAGATTGTTGCTTGGCAAAAGCTCAACTAGCAAGCTGTAACCTTGAGATAAACACCCCTCCTTTCTCCTCTGTGCAGAAAACACACTGGATATTCTCTATAGCTTTGCTAACTGCTCAGGGTTTCACCTGATCTTTGGACTCAATGCCTTGCTGCGGAAAGGTGGCTTGCAGTGGGACAGCTCAAATGCCCAGGCACTGCTGGACTACTGTGCTTCCCAGAGGTACAACATCTCCTGGGAACTTGGGAATGGTAAGTGCTTGTTGGCCAGACCAGCTGTCACCTAGAAAAGTACCACCAGACGGTATGGGCTAGTAACTTTGGATATTTTGGATGACGGCATATAAAGGCAAGGTGATGTTTTATTAAGAGGCATTACGGTCTTAATTTGCAGAGGGATTTTAGAAGAAGACAAAATGAATGAGCAAATTGAGATTATTTTGCTGCTCCTACCAGGGCTTTGAGATGAGGTGAATGATGCCCCACGAGATGCAGGATGTCACCTATGGCTGGGACAGAGTCCTGGAGAGTAGCACACTGTATCCCCCAAGCTTTTGGTTTCATGCTCACCTTCAAATATGTCACCCACTCTATGCCAGATCAGATGAAGCCTTAGGGAACTGGTGCTTCCCATGTGGATGGAAATGCCCTATTTTGTGCCCCAGAAATAGAGTGGGGTGTTGATGTGCATGTGTCTTCCCCAGAGCCCAACAGCTTCAGGAAGAAATCTGGCATCCACATTGATGGCTTCCAGCTGGGGCAAGATTTTATTCACTTACGCCAACTGCTGAATAACTATGCCCTCTATCAGCATGCCAAGCTCTACGGCCCCGATGTTGGGCAGCCCCGAAAGCACACGCAGAGACTGCTGAGAAGGTAGGGGTGTGAGGTTCCAGCAGCACTTCTGGGTTGGGGCAAGTGTGGAGAACTGTGGCTTGTCTGTCCCTATATGCAGGAGGCATGAAGAGGCTTTAAGGCAGGGGTTGAACAATTTTTTTTATCTTGACAGACGACAATTATAATCTTACCTGCATGCTTGAGTTCAAGGCCTGAATACTCAGCCAGGTAAAACTCAGCTGCTGGAAGTACATCAGTGGTCCACGTATTTTCCCATTGAGTACCGGCTCTAGGGTTGTGCTAACAACAGCTTTTCGCCAGAAAAACACCCACATGTTATACAAGGGTCAATTCATCCTCTCAGCAACCAGCTGAGGAAGCCAGGCTGCCCAAAGCCTGCTTAAAAGCCACAGGAAGCCTGGCCCCCAAGCATTCACCATCAGTGCTGCCAGCTGTGGGGAGAGGGGAGGGCTGTGCATGGCGTTGCACTAGTGGGAGGGCCATGACTGGACTGCTAACCCCCTGTCCTCCACCATTCCCTCTGGTTGCAGCTTCCTGAAATCGGGAGGGAAGGTGATCGACTCTGTCACATGGCACCAGTAAGTACCACTTGGATACCACTGTCACTCTACTGCCTCATTTTCTTTAAAAAATGCCAATTTGAACAGAATTATCAATCTCAACAGAAAAGAGGGGGGTGAAATGCCCCCTTTCGACAGTTTCTCAGGGGTCTCTCCACAAATTTCTGTGTTCAGAATGAGAGATTAATTGAGGGAGCACATTACAGAAATGCTGAAGCCTCCAAAGGGTCTACTTGGTGCAGAGACCCAAAAGCAGCGGTGGGGGTTAGTCACGGGGAATGCAACATGTGCAAGGTGATAATTTTGTTTGCTCTATTTATGTCTAGTTGATATAAAGAAAAAGCTCTGTAGGTCTGGCTGACCTTTGTCCATGGAGAATTGCCAGCAGTTCCTCCTGCTCCCTTGAGTTTGTTCTCTGAGTCACTTCAGGCTCTGTGTAGGTAACTCACCCTTAGATCCCACATGCAGTGCAAACAGCACTGGCACCTGGCCCTTTGCTCCTGTGCAGTGACTTTGATTGGTAGGTTTAAAGTGCTCATGGGGACAGTAGGGTAAACTGGCCCCAGGGCCATGAACTTAATATGTTTGAAAATCATTTCCGTGTGAAGGCAGTTTTCTTTCCAGAGTCAAAAGCAGGACATGACATGCAGCAGTCAGACAATAATGAGAAAAAATGTACATACTTATTTTATATATATATATATGTATACATACATCAATTATCTATGTATTTTGAGCTGCTAGAAAGGCATGATCTTGTCCTTTCCCCTTCCTGGGCTGTTGTTTACTCATTTAGGATTATCAGGTTTTAGCTTCCTCTTGTGGCTGGAAGGCCTCAGCTGTTTTTGGTCGGACTGAGTGATAGCAGGATGAAATGCAAAAACCACCATTCCAATTTATTTGGACAAACAAGACTTAAAAGGTCTTCTGCTCATGGTGAAGGGCAACCTTCACACCATAGGAATGCCCACATTTCAGCTCCCTCCAAGTGGCCAAAATATTCCAGCAGATGGACAGATGCTGTGAGCTGATATTTTTAATATATAACTTGATGGAGTAAAGCAAGTAATCACATAGGAGTGTCAGACTCCTCAACAAGAGAAGATTACAGAAGCTGGCTCTTGGTGATGTTTTCCTTATTCTTAACAAATAGATGCAAACAAACCTATTACTTCTGCTGGTGGAAATTTCTGTGATATCCTGACTCCACTGAGGTAAAATTATATCTTAAAGTCCCTTAAATACAAGTGACAGACCTATACATTTGGAAAACAAAAAATTAAAAAGCACTGGACAGAAAAATCATGCTGTGGATAAATGTACCAATCAACTGAATACTTTCAGTGGTGTTTTGTACCACTGGTGGTATTGCTCCCTAATTTTGTCTACGTTTTTTCCCCCATTTTCAGTTACTATGTGAATGGACAGAGTGCAACAAGGGGGGATTTCTTGAGCCCTGAGGTGCTGGACACCTTCGCCACAGCCATATATGAAGTTCTGGAGGTACCTTGTCCTGTTCAACCATTCCCATGTTCAGTTTCCAGCAGGTTAACAGAGAATCCAAAAATAAAGCACTATTTCTTACTAACAATAGACAGGGATACTCAAAGCTTGAGTTCTGCTGACATTGTATATTAAAAAAAATAAAATTAAAATTAATTATACTAACAATAAATGAGCTCCAACAGTTTGCTATGTAGTAAACATTGTGCCAGGTGCATCACACACCTATAACATTCTCATTTATTGATATAATAATTACTCAGGGATGCAATTTATGATTATCCTCTCCCTCCAATGTTTTTTTTTTTTTTAAAGATCCTGACAGCATTATAAGTTAGAATATAGCACTACTCAGCACAAGAAGAATTATGGGACCTGGATTTTAGTGATGTTTGCCCTGTTTTACATGGGCAGCAAGTTTGGGTTTTTTTCTGGGGGGGATGTAAATCTACTTCTAGTCCTTTTGACCCAAATTTCTGTGACATCCCATCTCAGAGTGTTATCCCTTAAATGAAAACATCCTAAGTAAGCCTTTGGCTAAAATACAACATTTTGTTTATTTCAGTAGTCAAAAAATTAACCGTTGTCTCTCTTCTTTCTGAATGCCACACTGGCCAGATTGTTGGTCAGACTGTGCCGGACAAGAAGGTATGGCTGGGAGAGACGAGCTCTGCCTATGGAGGAGGAGCTCCCAGATTGTCTAACACTTATGTTGCTGGCTTTATGTGAGTACTGTGTCCCAGGTGTGAGGAAATTATGTATTTTGGCAGCTGAATGGGGCTGCCCCACAGGAGGAATGTGGCTTCCTCAGGCTTCCTGGGGAGTGTGGGCAGCTTTTTTCCATCCTATAAGACACAATGACTTTTTATCAGGGCCTGGTGGGCCAGCAAGTCAAAGTCTGATAATGACAGGCAACCTTGTTTCTGGTGTGATTATTTCTCTCAGCCTTCAGACCTTTGGCCAGTTCAGGAGAATCTGCTGCCACTCCTTGTTTCCACCCCCTATAAACAGGGGAATGGAGCAACTGTTCCCATCAACTTGGACTTCAAGAGGTGGACTAAAATTATTTTTTAATGTAATCAATGCAAGACTTGAAATTAGTTGTGTGTTTTTAAGGAAGTCAGCATTACTCACTAAGTTTTGCTTTCCTGCTACCCAAGCTGGTTTGAGAGGGGCAACAGAGTACTGTTGAGGTCAGCACTTTCATCTGCATGATATTTGCCTCATTTTTTGGCAGGTGGTTGGACAAACTCGGGCTTTCAGCCAGGCAGGGGATTGATGTGGTAATGAGACAGGTTTTCTTCGGGGCAGGGACCTATCACCTGGTGGATGCCAACTTTGAGCCTTTGCCGGTATGTAAATAACACCCCCTGAATGCACCTCTGCACAGGCAATGCTGGGTGTGGAGGGACAAGTCAGCTATTTTAACAATACCTTTTTTTGCTTGGATGGACACAGGTATCCTTGCACCTAAAGTTATCTCATGTTTCACTACAGGTTAATATATTATTACACATATATGTATGCACACAAGATATTTACTCCAGCTGCAGGGGTGCAGCCAGTCTTCAGCACAGCAGAAACTGATTTTTGGGACATGATGCTCTGGTTTGTACATAGAAGCTCCTGGATCTCACAAGGTGTTTCTGGATGGCCTGTTTTTTTGGTTTGATTACTCCTCAGCTGAGTGATGAGTAGTTTATAAACAGAAGTGAAAAGAGATATTAAAATCAATTTCATTCCATGTGAAAACCAGTCCACCCTGAAGTCAACACTCAAGTGTTATAGGTCATGAGCATATTCATCCTACAGTGGTGGCTGATGGATAATTAAATTGAAATATTTAGTATAGTTTGATTTATTAGGAAATAACACTTTGCTGTGATGAAACTTCATTATATGAACTATACATTGTTCTTGCACATACGGCACATTTCTTTGTACTACAGCACTTAGACTGGGGTGAGAGGACAGCATCTTCCTTTTTAGCTTTCCTCTCATTTCTCTGCTTCCAAATTGTGATTTTCATTGGTGGTCATAGAGCCAGCCTAAAAGAAAACCCAGCATACAGGGGTTTTCCATTTTACTTGCTCAGCTGCTTCCTATGCCAGAGGCTGCATCATCAGGCTTGTGACTTTGGGCTTTTCATTCCCTCATTTAAAATAGATTTAAGTTGGACTGAAACTGTGTGCCTTTTTCCTCACCTACTGGCAGTACAGATGCTAACCAAGCCAATAATGCTTCAGAGGCAGGGAAATCCAAACCCAGGTGCATCAGCTGTAGTTAGCACAGAAATGAGGAAGCACATCACTGTCAGAAGGCTGCATTTCCTTGCAGAGGGATTCAGCACAAAGGCTGATAGTAAAAGTAATTTCCTGGTCTTGTGGTGAGTCAGAGGAGAAATGCAACAGTTTTCCTCCTAAGAAAACCTCAAAGACCAACAGATGAGCTGGAAGAAGCTCTCTGAAAACCAGAAAAGACCTGGAAAAAATGAGTCTGCACTGGGCATCGTCCTGCTCTGAGGTATCATCTGGAGTGTCAGAGGATAAACTTGTGACTTGGATTTAGAAATCAATCCCGATACCTGTTCAAAAGTACAATGTTAATGAAAGGGGTTAAAGTTTAGGAGCTTCTTCCTCGTGTTGCACCTGTGCCTTAGGTACAAGCTTTCCTGCAGGAAGAGCGCTCACACCCCTACATTCAGTACTGAGGTTCTCCGTACCCTGCAGAAGGGCATTTCAAAAGCACATCTCTCCCTGACAGAGCTCTGAGAGCTGTGTATGAAGGGGAAAATGTGCCTAAGGTACATTCTAAAAACAGCTGCTCGCAGGCAGGGCTTCCTTTTTATCTGTGGTGTTTGTGTGAATGTAAGTAGATGTGAGAAGCTTGGTAAAGCAAAAAATTATGGGGAATACCTCTTAAAATGAGCTTCAAAATGAAGGTTAGATTAAGCACTGTGTGGAGCACCTGGCACGTACACAAATGTTTCCATGTGTTTTTTTGTCTCCCAGGACTACTGGCTTTCACTGCTCTACAAGAAGCTGGTGGGTACCAAGGTGCTGCAGGTCGGCCTGGCAGGAGCCAACAAGAGGAAGCTCCGTGTCTACCTCCACTGCACAAGCAGCCTCAAGTAAGACTCCAGAAAGGGCGAAATATCCTGGAAACTGAGCCTGTGGCCACCCCCGGGCCAACAAATGCCATTTGGGACAGTGCAAGGTCACACATTATTCTAATCCCCACCATCACCTTCTCTTGCCTTGCAGCCCAAAGTACAGAGAAGGGGATGTGACACTGTTTGCCTTAAACCTCTACAATGTCACCCAACATTTGAAGCTACCAGATTACCTATCGAGCAAGCATGTGGATCAGTACCTCTTACTGCCTCATGGCAAAGAGAATATTCTTTCCAGGTAAGTTGCAATTCCTCCAGTGCCTGCAGAAAAGACTGTGAGTAGGCTTAGATGGTCTTTAAAACCTCACCTTATTCAATTTGCATGGGGGTAAAAGAAGTTACCATTCATTCATCTGGGTTTTTTTCAGTAAGATCTGGCTTCTGTTAAATCAGATTTCCTAAACTCAGGCTGTTGAAAGCTTGCAAAGTTATAAGGACATTTACTTGATGTGAATTTGGAAGTTTATCCTAGCATGTGTCAGTGTTCTGGACAGCTGCTAAAGTCCTGTTTTGTTTTGTTTTTTGGGGTTTTTTTGCACAAACACAAGTATATTGCTTTCCCAAGTGCTAGGTCCTGATTTACAGCAACGTGTTCAGCCTTTGTGTGTGGGTGGGATCTTTTTGTTGTCATTGTTAATGCATCCACAGGGAAAAGATCTGCTCTCTGGGCAAAAAAGAATATTAATATTTTTCAGGAGAAAAAGCAATTTAAATTTGTACTTTTCAAAGCCTATTTAGCTGTTGACCTCACTGGAAGAGAAAGAAACATACTTTTAAATGTGCTTGTGCTACCAGTCTGAAGGAGTCCTTGTAGTGGGAGTGCTGCAGATGTCTGTGTGTGTACACACACATTCAAGGGAAGTTTGGTTTGGCTTTGGGCTGAGTTAATGTTTACACTCAGGCCCAGAGCAGTTTGTACTCGATGGCAAACAGAGCACAGCTGCCCAAACAGTCTCTCTGTCCCTCTCCAGGTCTATTGAGCTGAACAGCCGTGTGCTACGGATGCTGGATGATGAAACACTGCCAGAGCTTATGGAAAAGCCCCTTGGTCCTGGCAGACTTCTTGGCCTTCCAGCCTTCTCCTATGGCTTTTATGTTATCAAAAACGCCAAAGCTATTGCTTGCATTTAAGCGGTCAACACACACACTCAGGATAAATGTAAAGCACTAGGCTAGTAGGAAATTTTTTTTTTTGCTCTTGATCCAACCTGTCACTGTGCTTGAGCATGGAACTCTTCTCCACACCACACAGGGAGCTTCTCACACTACTTGGGGCTCTGCCAGCCCAGGCACTGCAACCTCCCCTCACCCTCTAGTTTCTGCAAGCACAGCTCCTAAAGCAGTTTCTTCAAAAGCTTGCCTTCAGAAAGGATGAGCAGAGTTTTTATTTGAGCTGTACAGCTGTGGCCTCACACTATGTGGGGGTTGTGGTTGCTGAGGGTATCTTGAGGTCGAAGGTCTGGACACACAAAGCAAACCAAAGTCAGGGTGCTTGCAGGGGCAAAGGCCTTGCAGAGAAACCAGATCCTCTATTAGATTTGGGGAAACAACACACATTTTTCTTAAGCTAGGATTGTTCAGTCACAAGATGGAGCTGTGGTTCTGTGCTTTCCAAAGGCGAGTTGTTGACAAAGGAAATGCAAGCTGTTCCTGTAGGGTGGTCAGCCTCTGCCATCACACCCTTCTTCCCTGAATGGAAAGGAGAGGAGCCCACCAGGCCCTGGCAATAACCCTCTGTGCTCAAGGGGCTGCAAAGTGAGTGCTCATGACCTCAACCTGCACCACTCTGCAGTTAGTTCAGCTGGAAAGTTCCTGAACCTATGCACAGGTAAAGCTCTCAAGCTCTCTCTGCTTTACACTCCCTAATGCACTCAGGTCTCTTCTGTCTTGGGGAAATGGTATAGGAGAGAGGCTGAGGAAACCACTCACCCCTCAACTACCAGAGAGACATCATGCTATAGAGCATCCTGGGGACAGAAGTGCCCAGTCAGGATGACATCCTTCCTACTGGGAAAACAGTGATTTTGGAAAGAAATCTGTGTTGGTGGTGGCTTTTCCCCCCAGCTGTGCCTTCCCCATGCACACCCTGTTACAGCTGGCTGTGCCGGCAATAGCTCCCTGTGGCACACAGGTTGCTGATCCCCAGGGCAACAAAAGGCCTAGAACAGTAGCTGTGGCCTTCTGCATCTATTTATTTAGTTCTACTTTTCTTGAAGGTATGTAACCCACACCACTCTCAATGTCTTATATTTATGAGCACAGCAGGGAAGAACCCCACACTACTGTACCTCCCTTTTTAAGCTTTAAAAAGATGCTACCAGCTACAGGGCAGGGAACCTTTTTTAATGAGATTATTTTCAAAACTGATGTACTTTTGTAGCTGTGATGAAAACCATGAAAACCTGCACACTAAAAAGGTTATACTTCAGTTCAGTGTGTCAAAGGAGTATGTGCATCCATGGAGCAGATGCATTCTGTTAAGGGTTATGTATCAGGGGATAACATAGATCAGAAACGAGGAAGGCTGAGTTTGTTTGCATGTCTAAGTTCCATAACACAAGTAAAGAGAGTGTAAGATGGAAAGTCTTACATACAGTCAACACAAAGTTAATAATATATTATTATTATAAAAATGTAAGTTGCAACTAAAACATCAAATTTATTCTTTGCCTGGTAGCTTCTTTTTAGAACTTTGATAAAAATTTTGTTTATTCCAATGCTTGTGAGTTTTGTATTTGAAGATTTTAATTAAAGTGATTTATACCAACTTTTGGCAATCTTCGTTCTTTTTTTAAGACTCCTTTTTGACATGCTGATACCAGGACACTCCCTACTTTTCTTTTGGTCATAACTACCCGTGCTTCTTTTTATTATCAACAAGAGTACCCAAGTACACAAAAATGAAAGAAATCCTACACAGGTTGTTGTGTTTCAATTGTGTTTGCCCACCAGTTCAGAGGCCCTCCACCCACTGTGACTCAGATGTGACACAAGTGCTGGTGACTGGCACACAGGAACTACCAGGAGGGGCCCCGGGGATGTTTGCCCATGCAAATGACAGCTGCTGTCAACCATGTCTCCTCTCTGAGCCCTCTTCTTGATGGTGGGGTGGGGAGGTTTGATTTACAGCTCAGTAACCACCTTTCTCTTTACAAAGTGTTGCACATCAAGCTAATAGCTACTCTTAGCTCTATACAAACACAGCAAGAGGGACCCAAGTGCAGGGAACAGGAAAGATGCTGGATCCCAGCACTCCAAGGAAGCTACAGTCTGAAACAGAGATGAACATCACCACCTCACAGGCCTGCCCCACCCTTATCTCTGGGACTTTTATTTCTCTGTGAATGTTGTAAACCTTGGGGGATTGAATATATGTGTGTACAGTTATTTGAGAACAGGGAGAACCATATTTCACACTCATTCCAATTCACTTTTGCCCTTTTGACTCTGGAGGTCAGATTACTCACATTGAATTTACTGTAAATCTGTTCCTAGAAGGTGGAGTAATTTGCCTCACACTTTGGTACAGGGGATCATTTGGTGTAAGTGAAAATGAGGAAACTGATACCCACCTTAGTGTCAGGGACATTTTGACCATCAACTCAGGTTTCAGATAAACAAGACAGTCGGGCTTTACTGAAGTAAAGTAGTCTGAAATGAGCTATTCTCTAGATTATCTTTCAGTGAAGGGCCAGGCCACTTTATTATGAATGTAAATACAGTGGCAGTAACTGTAAAAGTTTTCTTTACTGCTTTACTTCCATGAGCTCCTTAAAAATTTTCTGCAGACAGTCCAGGGTTTCCTCTCTGCTTCACACATATAAAAACACCAAAGCAGTGTGGCAGAGGACATCCACCTGGTGACAATCAGAGCATCTATGTTCCTACGCACATGGCAGGCAGAGAGGTTGTGGGGATTCATTGCCAGGACTCACTAGTCAACTGCACCTCAGCTACTAGTCTGTATCTGAAAAAAGCCCATGATGAATGTTCCAGATAAAAATTTGATCAAGCCAATTTAATAACTAAAAAAATAGAATTTATTGCACGACTGATATACAGTCTCGACAGCCACAATTAAAGGGACAGCATCGACCCCAGGCTCGACACTGGGTGAACCGTGATCCGACCTCTATCGCATTGGACCCGCTCTGTTCACAAAGGTGGTCTGGTACAGTCAGGTTTTATACCCTTTTTGTTGCCTGAGGCAGAGTCTCTCTTGTTCTTTTCATAGTCAAACATATTCATGTCATCCTCTTTCTCCGAGTTGGACTGGACAATGTGGTTCCTGGCAAGCTATGAATGCTGATGGTAGGGTTAAGGGAACCTGGTATTCGGATGCAAGTTCCCCGATAGCTTCTGCTGTCTTGATCTCAGAGCTTAACCCATCTCCTTCCCCAGCTAGGCTCTTTTGATTGCAAATTAGACTTCTCCCTGCTGTCTGCAGTTTCGCAATGGCATGCGACAGTCTCTTAGTACGAGGCAATTCCTCGGCTCCCGCATGTGGATTTGAAAATGCTTTTGAGTATTTCTTTTAAACATTATAACATATATTCATATCATATTCTACATAAGCACAAATTACCTATATAATATACTACAATGACTTTATCAGCGTGATATGGAACCTAGATTATTAGCTACTCTCCATCAGAGTTGAGCAACTCTTTCCTTTATAGTCCTGTGCAAATCGTTTTACTGCTGTGGAGTACTGCTCATTAAAACAATAAAACAATAGCAAAATATTAAAGTCTCTTCTCCATATTTCATTTCCTCCTGCTAGCCAGCACCTTGGGAAATTAAAGTTCAAAGTGGTTTCCATTGTTTTCTACCAGTGTGTGAGTCATTCAACCTGAAGGAAGTGTGTAATGCAAAAGAATTTATACTCTAGAGGGACAATGAAGTCCTCAAGGAATCTTTTAGCAGCAGATCTGAGGACATTTAGACACTGAAACCATGCCACGAAAAGCAAAGGTTTTATGGCTCTGTCCTCTGCTCTCTGGCTTGTGCAATAACTCATAAGTTGGTGTTATGACCCTGAAGGTGAGGTAACTGAGGTTCTTGTTAAAGGGTCCCTTGGGGTGGATAAGAGTGAAATGACACATGAATGACTGGTGTTTATATACAGCAGGTTTAGTTTACAATGATGGAAAGGAGGTACGCAGCCATTTCGGTTATTGTCTGTTATAGGTAAAAATGAAATATGTCTAATTCTAATAAAAACAAAAAGAGTTTCTTCGCGACTGTGATACAGTCCTGACAGCCAACAATCAAACTGACAATGCAACACCCCTGGGAGATAGGCTGGGTGAACGTGGATTTGGCCTCTATCGCACCAAATCCCCCTCTGTCCACACTAGCTTCTCCGAGGGGACAGTTTCTATACTCTTTTTTTAAAAATGCTCTTTATTCTGCCCCCGGCAGAGTCCCTTTGTTTCCTTTTAGAGTTCTTCATATTCAAGTTGGTTCTTTTCTTCAGTCTGAACTGCACAAAGCCTTCGCCCGGGAATAGATTAGTGCTTCTCCCTGCTTCCCGGAATCCTGTATTCAGGTGGCAGGTGTTGATGGCCCTGGTTATCTCACATGGGCATCTTTGCGGGCCATCATCTCTGGATACATGCCACCGTGGACGACCATCTCCTGTGCAGCCAAGGTTTCCTTCATGACATGGTATTCCCTTGCCAGTCTGCCACGGTTTCGCCATCCTGAGAATGAAATCCCTAGCCCCCCCTTGTACAGCCAGTTTAATTCATATACTTTATAGAAGTCTATATTTTATTGGCACGAATTACTAATTATATCCCTAACATTATCTGTAGAAATACAACCATAGAAAATATAAAGATAGAATTTAAGAAAATATATAAGGAAATCAGATTTCCCATGTGGCCTTTGTATCTCTTCTCCTCGCTCACTCAGTTCTCCCACCATCTGTGTGAGAGACTGAAATGCTCTGAAAGGGAAAGAGAGAGAAAGGACAAGATTATGGGAAGATATGAAAGGAATGAGAAGAATGTGTCCTTACAAACAAACTGTGAGTCTGCCTGTAGGAAAAGCTAGATGCTGATAGGTGAAAGAAGCAATGGGAGTAACCATAAATTTCAGAGGAATGTTAGTAATTGACAGACTTGTTCATCTAAGGCCATATTAAAATCCTGGACTTAGAGATACAAAGAAAAGGCGGGGGGGGGGAGGGGTGTTGTGCATATTAGAAGGGGATACTGTATTAGGTGATTCAGGCAGCCTGTACCTCTCAAGTACCTCAGTCAATGGGGAAAGGAAGAGGGTCATGCAGCCAGGAAAACAGGATTAAAAGAAAGATACGTCCTCCAAAAACTTGAGAGATGCCAGTGGAATGGCCTCCCCCTTTTTTCTGAATAAAGTCAGAGGACTTCTCTGTCTCCTTTTTGGACATAAACCTCTGGTGCGTGAATTTTTCTGCACAGATAACACCACCTGTGTGTTATGAATAAAAAGTTATCTATTTTTGTTTAAGGTTGCAGAGTTAAAACTGGCTGGACACCTGAGCTGAATCTCTTTAATAAAGGCATTAAAAAGGAGAAAGATCTCCTGCCCATTTATTTCACTGTGGACCCAGCAACAAGACTTAATCAATTGAATTTTCAATTCACGCATTGAATTTTCATGCGTGATGATCGCAGTCTTGATCCATCAGGGGTGGGGGAAGCTCCTGAAACATGAAGTTCAATGGGTTAATACACAATCTGTTTCGGGTGGGAATGCCCAGGTACCTCCCCTGTTGCTAAGCGAAGGTGGGTTTGTTACGGCCACCCGGGCTGTTCCTATGCAGGTCTGAGATTTCCCAACATACACCCCAATCCCTCTCCTCCTCCCCTCCGGCCCGGCCTCAGCCAAGCGCGCGCTGCTTTTGGAACTCGCTGGTTGTTGGAGCCATCAATCCCCAGCACTTCAGCATTTCAGTCTCTCACACAGATGGTGGGAGAACTGAGTGAGCGAGGAGAAGAGATACAAAGGCCACATGGAAAATCTGATTTCCTTTTTTTTAAATTACCTACAGTGAGGAAAGGTCTTGGAGATGACACGAATGTTAAGAACGACCATGTTAAGTTTCGAGAACGACGATTTCACCGAGAACACACTGATACCTCCCATCCCGCCCCGCCTCAGCCACGGCGCGGGGCGCCTGAGGGCGCCGCGCATGCGCAGCGTCGCGAGACTACGTCCCGCCGGCAGAGGGGCGGCGCTAAGATGGCGGCGGTGCTGCTGGCGCGGTTCTGCCGGGGTCCCCCTGGGCTCCGGGGCTCACTCGGGTTCCACGCCGCCCGCCCGCCCCTCGCCGCCGCCCCGCCGCTACTGCTCCGTCGCCCCGCTGCGCCCCTGGGGCCGCGCAGCTTCTCGGCGGCCGAGCTGGTGCGCGCCGCGCCGGCCCCGCTGCAGCCCTACTTGCGGCTCATGCGCCTGCACCAGCCCGCCGGTGAGCGCGCGGGAAGGGTCGGGGCCGCGTGCCCCCCGGGGCCTCCCGTTCCCCGCTGAGCCCGCCCGCGGGTTTGTCTCCTCGCAGGGACGTGGCTACTGTACCTGCCGTGTACCTGGAGCATCGGGCTGGCGGCCGCGCCCGGCTGCCTCCCGGACTGGCGCATGCTGTCTCTGTTCGGCGTGGGAGCCGTGCTCATGCGAGGGGCCGGCTGCACCATCAATGACATGTGGGACCGCGACTATGACAGACAGGTAGCGAGCTATGGGGCAAGGCTGCTTACACGAGCGTGCAGTGACAGGACA